AAATTTAGAACTTACACAAACTATATGATTGACTCCATAAAAAATTATAATTAGGGAAGTTATTAAAACTTGCTTCCTAAAATATATTCTAGTTCTTTTTAATATCCACTTATAAATGCATCTAGACTACCATCAGTACAATTAATAAAAAACAATTGCCCTTCATTACTGATAATAGGTAATAAATTAGCATTATATGTTATAGTAACACTTGTCTTACTATTATTTAAATAAACCTGTTGTACTCTATTAGACATTATTGCCCTTGCACTACCAGTTTTCTCAGTTATAAAAGATTGTCGTGACATATATTCTTGGTATTGTATCAACTGATTCGCTTCACTAATTTTACTTATTATAATATCTCGTATTTTCATAAAAGCTCCCCTGAACCTAATAAACTAACAATCTTCTCAGTTAATTCCTTATCATTATTACTTCCCTCAAATGTATTATTACTCTCTTTATTATAATCACTTAAGTATAAATCTATATCATCTACTATAATAGATTGCTGTTGCAAATCTCTTTTTTGTAGTATAGAAAGACTTACAGTCTTGCTAATGTAATTAGCTTGAAACTCAACTTTTTTAACAGCTAAAATATTGTTTTGTAAAAAAGCTTTTTTATGATTGAATGTTTCAATATTTAATCGCTCTCCTAACATCCTTAAACCACCTATAAAATCCATTATAGGATTAGCAGCTAAATTACTAAATCTACTTTTTAATCTCTCTAATTGTTCTTTTGACATATAATACTTCTTATATTTAATTAGGAAGTCTTTAATTATATAACTAATTATTTATATATTTCAAACTATTAAATAAACACCCTTTTAACTATATTATAATTAAATGAAAAATTTAAAACTAATTATAGTAACAACTATAGGCTTAAAAACAATAATTTATACAACTATGTTGTATTATTACAAAAAAATATTATAATATACTTACTCTTTCTAGTATTAAGAACTATAATGCGTCACGCACTATAACACGTAAACCATATATTGCATTGAAACCTAAATATATAGATATACGCTCAATTATTAAGTCTTGTTGAAAGGACATTTCTAAAGCGATAACTGAGTTATCTACTTGTACATGCAATATGTTTTTTGATTGACCATTTTTTTTCAACCTAGTGATTTTAATAGGACTAGTTTTAGTACTAAACTTAAGACCAACCATCTTGTTCCAGTTTATTATAATATCTGCAAGTAATGGATGTTGGTTTCTAAAAATTTTTGTAAGAATTAAATTAATATTATTAACTAGTGGTTTCATTTGACAAAATTAATTAATGTTATCATTACTATTAATAAAGCTAATATAATAGATATTAATTGTAAATATAATGAAGTAATAGCAAGTATCATCAGTAATATATTACATATAATTATTCTGACTACTACTTCTTTATGAGTTTTACCATTTTTAACTGCCTTTTGAAAAAAATGTTTTAAATGAGGCTGCCATATTTTTTCTCTATTAAAAAGCCTTATTAGTATAGTAATACCACCATCTGTAATATAATAAAGACTTGCAATAGAAGCAGCAATAAATAAATGTACACTTGATGCTGATATAATTAATAGACATAAACCTAACAAAAATCCTAAACTTATGCTACCTATATCACCAAGAAATATTTTAGCAGGAGGCCAATTAAATATTAAAAACCCAATTACAGATGCAAGTATAATTATACAAAGTATAACTATACAATTTACATTTATAATTATATCATACTTTAAATAACAAAGTATTAACATAGTAATTGATAAATGAATAGATTCAACAGCACTTATCCCATCTATCCCATCAAGAAAATTATAAATATTTAAAAAAGCTGTCAAACATAATATAGACAATAGAAAGTCAATATAGAACGGCAATTCTTGATGAAATAAAGAAGCAGGATATATAAAAAATATAGTGGATAAAGTAGCACAAATTAAATGAGTTACTAAGCGTATCAATATAGGAATAGGTTTTAAATCGTCTAAAAATGAAATTGCAGCTATACTGAATAAAAGAGGTATAATTTTTATTGAATATATAAATGTTTTTGTCTGCAAATATTCATATATAATAAAACTCATTATTATCACTATTACTATAGCAAGACCACCACCCCTTGGTGTAATTTGGTTATGAACTCTACGTGAATTTGGTATATCTACTATATAAAGTGATGAAAGAATATTGATTAATAAATAAGTTAGAAAATTTGTAGCTACAAAAGAGAACAAAAATAATAAACCATAATTAATAAAGTTACTCATAACAACATATTAGATTTAAAACTAAAATATTCATTATCACCTATAATAACGTGATCATGAACTACTATATTTACAGTAGAACAAGTTTCTACTATTTTATTTGTTATATCAATATCAGCTTTTGAAGGATTGCTACTTCCACTCGGATGATTATGTACTAATATAATAGCACTTGATTCATGAAATAATGCTCTCTTAATTATTTCACGAACATATATTACTGCCTGATCGACAGTACCTTGACTAAGAATTTCATCCCCTATTAAAACGTTTCGTTTATTTAAAAATAATACTCGAAATTGTTCTAATTTCATGTTGCTCATATTTATCTTTAGATAATCCAACAACGCTGTCCAAGAACTAATAATATTTTGGTTTGTTATTTTCTGCTTTAGCATTCTATTGATTAATTCACGTATGATTACAAAATTTACATATAATGTTTTCATTAGCACCTTTTATACTAAGTAATTGTTCTTTATCAATATTTATTAAATTAGTTAAATTACCTACTTGTTCTAACAATTGTTTCGCTAATGGCTTGACATCTTTTCTTGTTATTGCAGAAAATAATATAAGTTCTAATAACTCATAATCAGCAATATGCTCAGGAGGTGTAGTTATAATACGTTTCTTTAAACGTTGCCTATGACCTACATAACGAGGTAGAACTTTACATTGTTTTTTTTTACAATCAGTTATGTTAAAGTTTAGCACATTTATCTCAATTTCTTACCTAGTTACTTTAATTTATCTTCTTTTTCCTAATATTATTCTTAATTCCATCTAGGTTGTGTTGACAAAATTTTCGTGTATATAAATATCTACTACTTACTCAAAACAATTAATTTTACTGTTTCATATCTAATATTAATAGTTATAAATGGTTTTATATATCAATAGAAAATTATGAATAATTATAAGTAAGGTGGATATTTATAATTTTTAGGTGAAATAGTAAAAATTTCATAACCATCTTTAGTAACACCTAATGTATGTTCAAATTGCGCAGATAATGATTTATCACGTGTGGTTACCGTCCACCCATCCAATTTACTCAAAATAGTTGAATAGTGGCCAACATTCACCATAGGTTCAATAGTAAAAAACATACCTTCCTGTAAAATTTCACCACTATTCGCTTTACCATAATGCAATATTGTAGGTTCTGTATGAAATATCTTGCCTATACCATGTCCAGTATAATCTCGCACTACTGAATAATCATGTTTTTCTACATAATTTTGTATAACATACCCTATATCACCAAGACGAACACCTGGTTTAACTATTTCAATAGCTTTCATCATAGCATCGTAAGTAACTTGTATTAAACGTTTTTGTTTTATTCCAACATTACCAACATAATACATCCTACTAGTATCACCATACCATCCATTAACAATTACAGTCACATCAATATTTATTATGTCACCATCTTTTAATAATTTATCACTTGGAATACCATGACACACTACATGATTTATAGAAGTACAAATCGATTTTGGAAACCCACGATAATTTAAGGGGGCAGGAATAGCATTATTATTAACAATGAAATTATGACAAAGATTATCTAGATCATTTGTACTTACTCCTGGCTTTACATAATCAGTAATAAAATCTAGAGTTTCTGCAGCCAACCTCCCTGCTACATGCATTTTTTGAAAATCATCTTGAGAATGAATTACAATATTCATATTAGCTTAACTTTTTCTTGAGCAAATCATTTACTATAGTAGGGTTTGCTTTACCTTCAGTTTTTTTCATAACTTGACCTACAAAAAACCCAAATAGTTTATTCTTACCATTTTTGTAACTTGCAACAAAATTAGCATTTTCAGAAAGTACTTCATCAATTATAGATGATACTACATCAATATCTGAAAGTTGTACTAAATTTTCTTTCTTAATGATTTCTTCTGCTGTTGCTCCAGTTTCAAACATTGTTTCAAAAATAGTTTTAGCAATTTTTCCTGAAATAACACCATCTTCTATAAATTTAACCATTTGACCAAGCATTTGAGGAGTAATTTTACACTCATTTAAATTAATAGCACTTTTTTTAAGATAACCAAATAATTCACTAGTAATCCAATTAGCTAAAATTTTAGGGTTACATAATATAACACCTGATTCAAAATAATTAGCTACTGACATATCAGCAACAATTACCTCAGCATCATATTGATTTAATCCAAATTCTGTGATATATCGTGTTACTTTTGCATTAGGAAGTTCTGGCAATGTTAAAGATAATTCATCTACTAATTCTTGTGATATAACCAATGGTAATAAATCTGGATCTGGAAAATATCGATAATCATGGGCTTCTTCTTTTAAACGCATAGCCCTAGTCTCACCAATATCAGCATTAAATAATCTAGTCTCTTGTATTATTTTATGTCCCTCTTCTATCAAAGCTACTTGTCGTTTTGCTTCAAATTCAATTGCATGTATAATATTACGGATTGAATTTATATTTTTAACCTCACACCTTGTACCCAATACTTCACCAGATCGACGCACTGATATATTAGCATCACATCGTAATGACCCTTTATCCATATCTCCATCACAACTACCAATATAACGCAGTAGATTTCTAAGCTTTCGTACAAAATCAGCCGCCTCATAAGGAGAATTCATATCTGGTTCAGTCACTATCTCCATTAAACCTATACCAAAACGATTTAGGTCAATAAAACTATAATGAGGAGAATGATCATGCATACTCTTACCAGCATCTTGTTCTAAATGTATACGATTAATCCTAACAGTCTTTGAATTACCATCCTCATTTAATATTTTCATATTACCACCTTCCACTATTGGATGATAGAATTGTGAAATTTGATATCCGAATGGTAAATCAGGATAAAAATAATTTTTACGATCAAAAACTGAATAAAGATTAATTTTAGCATTTAACCCAATAGCTGTTCTAATTGCCTGATGTACACAATATTCATTTAACACTGGCAATGTTCCAGGCATAGCAGCATCAATTAACGATACTTGTGAATTAGGAGAAGCAGCAAATTCTGTAGAACTACCAGAAAAAAGCTTAGATTTAGAAGAAATTTGTGCGTGTATCTCCAACCCAATCACATATTCCCATTTGCTTTTATTACCCTCTATATAAGCCATTAAAATCCCCTTGGTACAAAATTAATATGCTTTGAATTACGTTCAATAGAAGCAGCTACTTTTAAAATACTATATTCATCAAAAGCCTTACCTATAATTTGCATCCCGAGTGGTAATTCTTTAGATGATAACGCAGCAGGAACAGAAAGACAAGGAAGACCAGCAAGACTTGCTGGAACAGTAAATATATCATTTAAATACATAGTTACAGGATTATTTTGTTTTTCATCAACCTTAAAAGCATCAGATAATGTTGATGGTAGTAGAATTATATCAACTTTTGTAAATGCTTCTTTAAAATCATTAGCAATTAATCGTCGTATCTTCTGTGCCTTTAGATAATAAGCATCTATAAAGGAAGATGATAACACTTGTGTACCTATCATAATTCGTCTTTTTACTTCACTACCAAAACCCTCTGATCTAGTAAGTTCATACATTCTATCAATAGTTATATTCTCCTCTATTGTTCTAAACCCATACCTTACACCATCATATCGTGCTAAGTTAGATGAGGCTTCAGCTGGTGCAATAACATAATAAGTAGCAACAGCATATTTAGCATGTGGTAATTTTACATCAAAAATCTCAACTCCCTCACCCTTCACCATATCAATCGTATCTTGCCACATCTTAATAATTTCATTATTAATACCATCTTGTTTCATAAGATCATATGGTATACCTATTTTCATATTTTTAATATTTTCTCTGCATGATGACTGCAGCATAGGTACTGGGATATCTATAGAACTTGAATCTTTTTTATCAAAACCCATCATAACTTCAAGCATTAAAGCAGCATCCTCTACAGTTCTTGTTAATATCCCAGCTTGATCAAGTGAACTAGCAAAAGCAATCATACCAAACCGTGAACAACGACCATAAGTTGGTTTCACACCTACAATACCAGTAAAACTAGCTGGTTGACGTACAGATCCCCCTGTATCACTACCAATAGCTGCCATAGCTAAAAATGCACTGACTGCAGATGATGAACCACCAGAAGATCCACCAGGTACTAAATTACTGATAGGATCATTCTTTTGTTTCCAAGGACTAATAGCACTACCAAAATAACTGTTAATATTAGCAGAACCCATAGCAAATTCATCCATATTAGTTTTACCAAGTATAACACTACCATGATTACATATATTTTGACTAACAGTTGACTCATAAGTTGGAATAAAATTATCAAGCATTTTTGAACCAGCAGTAGTGCGTATCCCCTTTGTACAAAACAGATCTTTTACCCCTACCGGAATTCCTTCAAGTAATCTTTCAGTTTTATTACGATAATTACTATCAGCAACCTCTGCTTGCTTTAACGCAATATCAAATGTTTCTGTAATATAACTATTTAAATTTCTATGTTTAATGATTTTTTCAATATACGCATTAGTTAACTCTTGACTAGAAAAATGCTTATTCTTTAAGCCATTTATAGCTTGAACTATAGTTAATTTTGTAAGATCTGACATGTTTGTTATTCCATTACTTTTGGGACAATAAAATACTTAACTTCTTTAGCAAGAGCAACTGCAGATTTATTATTAGGTAAATTAGAAAATAATTCATCTGAAATATCAGCACAAGTTACTTCATCTGCCCTTAATCTTTGATTTGTATCACACACTGATGTTAGAGGTATGACATTACTACAATCTATTTCATTTAAAATGTGAATCATATTCATAATTTCAGTAAGTTGAGCTGCAAAACCTGTAAGCTTATCTTCTTCAAAATGTAGCCGAGATAGCTTTGCAATTTTCTTTACCTCTTCATTTGTTACCATTTAATTTACCATTATTACATATTTTATTTTATTATTTATCTGCATACTATTAACTATAAATTAATTACATTAATAACATTATGTCATATAAAATAAATGGATTGATTATATTTAAATACTTTAATTAAAATACCTTAAGACAATTTTATATTAATAATCTTTAATATAAAACCTTTTACTAGTAGCAACTATGATTCTTACTAACAATTTATTTTACCTATAATTAAAACCATTAATACGATATCATTACCTAAAATATACTCAAACAGTTAAAACTTCTTTTTCCTTCATTACTATATGTGAGTCTACTTTTTTTATAAATTCATCGGTTAATTTTTGAATTGCATCAAGTATACGATGATATTCATCTTTAGCTATATCTTTTTCTATTTTTTTTAATTTTTCGTTACCGTATTTTCTAATATTACGTAATGCTACCTTTGCAGCTTCCCCATATCTCTGTGCAAGTTTGACAAGTTCTTTTCGACGTTCTTCATTCAGTAATGGTATATTTATTCTAATTAATTTATCAGAAGATATAGGATTCAAGCCAAGATTTGCATCAATTATTGCCTTCTCTACATCTTTAATCATAGACTTATCCCATACTTGCACAGTAATCGTGCGCGCATCTGGTGTCGTAATAGATGCTACTTCAGATAAAGATATTTTATCATTACAAACCTTTACTAGTACAGGATCTAATAGATTAACTGAAGCACGACCAGTTCTAAGGCCCTTTAAATCACGTTCTATAAAATTCTTTATAGTATTTTCCATTCTTAATTGTAAATCTTTACATATAGTAGCCTTATCCATATATTAATTTCCTTCTTGAATTCTTGTATATTCTGCTTTACCTTGTAGCACTTTAACAAAATTACCCTTTTCTTTTATTGAAAATACTTTTATTGGTAATTTATTCTCTCTGGCTACTGCAATAGCAGCCATATCCATAACTTGTAAATTATCTTTTAACACATTATTGTAGCTAATAGTCTCATATCTCGTTGCATTAGGACTCTTTCTTGGGTCAAAATCATATACACCGTTAACTCCAGTTCCTTTTAGTAAAAGATCACAATTCATTTCAATAGCACGTAATACTGCTGCACTATCAGTAGTACAAAATGGATTACCTGTACCACCAGCAAATATCACCAACCGTCCTTTCTCAATATGTCGTTTAGCCTTGCGACGAATATAAGGTTCACAAATATTCATCATTGGTATTGCTGATAATACCCTAGTATTAATATTTAAATTTTCCATAATATTCTGCAAAATAAGAGCATTAATTACTGTAGCAAGCATACCAATATAATCAGCTGCAGCTCTCTCTGTACCCACTAATGATACATCAACACCACGATATATATTCCCCCCACCAATTACAATACACACTTCTATATTAAGATCTATAACTTCTTTAACATCTCGCGCTATTCTCTCTATCACATCATAGTCATGACCAAATTGCTTATCACCCATTAAAGCTTCCCCAGAAACCTTAAGTAAAACTCTTTTATATTTTGCTAACGACATATTAGCTTTACTTTATAATATTTTAAATAGCATATCTTTAAACAGCACATATTTTTATGGTCTTTATTTTTATGGTCTTTAAACTAAAGGAACTATTATTTCTGTCAACTATCAACTATAATTACTGAGAAGATTGATATTTAAAATTTAAGAATATATTCAAAAATTAATTAGATGAACTTACGCGATCATATTAAAACTTATATTACAATATATCAAGAAGAAATTGAATTTAAAACACAAATGTTAGAATTCTTAGATAATTGTGAACACCCTTTTAGCAGAGATTTTAAAACAGGTCATTTCACTGGATCAGCCTTTTTACTTAATTGTGATAAAACAAAATTTTTATTAATGCGTCATAGTAAACTCAACAAATGGGTACAACCAGGAGGACATTGTGATGGAAATAATAATATATTAGAAGTTGCAATAAAAGAAGCAAGGGAAGAATCAGGAATTTATGACATAGAGCCAATAAGTAAAGAAATTTATGATATAAATATTTGTTTATCTCATAAAAGTACACAAGAACCAGTTCACTATCACTATGATATACGATTTTTACTAAAAACAATTAATAACGATTCTTTTACTAAAAATTTAGAATCAAAAAAATTAAAATGGATAGAATTTTTTTCTTATAACTCTAAAATATTAATGTTAGATAATTCAGTAAGAAGAATGATTGATAAATTTATCAAATATCATTAATATTTAATAAATATTAATTGATAATAAAAGTTAAATTATTAAATTAATTCAAAATAATGATATAATTTATAGTATGTCATATGTTTTATGTTATAGTAATGTTATTAACCTATTTGAGACACATGAACTTAATAATATATGATAAAAATTACTATAGATGATAAAGAGATTGAGGTATCAGAGGAGGAAACTGTTTTTCAAGCTTGCGTACATAATGGTATTGAAATTCCACACTTTTGTTTTCATAAACGATTAAAGATTGCTGGAAATTGTCGTATGTGTTTAGTTGAAATGGAAAAATCCTCTAAATTAATTGCTTCATGTTCTATGCCAGTGAGTCAAGGTATGACTATTCATACTAATACGACAAAAGTTAAGAAAGCTCGTGAAGACATTATGGAGCTTTTGTTGATTAACCACCCGTTAGACTGTCCTATTTGCGATCAAGGGGGTGAATGTGATTTACAAGATCAAGCCTTTAAATATGGTAAATATAGTAATAGATTTCATGAAAATAAGCGGACTGTCAAAGATAAATATATAGGACCATTGATCAAAACCGCTATGACACGTTGTATCCATTGCACTAGGTGTATAAGATTTGCTACAGATGTAGCAGGTATTGAAGAAATAGGAGCGATATATAGAGGAGAACATATGGAAGTACTTTCATATATAGAAAGAAGCTTGGACTCAGAATTATCTGGTAATATGATAGATATCTGTCCAGTAGGGGCTTTAAATTCAAGACCTTATTCTGATAAGGCTCGTAGCTGGGAATTAACCCATACTTCTTCAATAGATGTATTAGATGCTTTAGGATCTAACATAAGAATTGATAGTAGAGGGGGGGAAATAATGAGGATATTACCCAGGGTTAACGAAGATATTAATGAAGAATGGATTTCTGACAAGGCTAGATTTTCTTATGATGGCCTAAAATATCAAAGACTAGATCGCCCCTATATTAGAAAAGATAATAAATTAGTAGAATCATCCTGGCAAGAAGCTATAGAAACAGTATCACAAACATTAAAATCACTTACTGGTCAACAAATTGCTGCAATAGCAGGACCACTTGCTTGTGTAGAATCAATGTTTTTACTTAAAACTTTATTGCAAGAACTTGGATGTAACAATTTTGATAGTAATCAATTCAATTATAAAATTGATTTATCTAATAGGGGTAATTATTTATTTAATACAACAATTGCTGGTATTGAAAAAGCAGACTTGTGTTTATTAATTGGCGCAAATCCAAGACAAGTAGCTCCTGTACTTAATGCTCGTATTGGTAAAATGCAAAGAAAAGGATTATTACACATAGCAAGGATTGGTAATGTTACTAATCAAACTTATAATATTCAAGAACTCGGTATGAGTCCTGATATAATTAAATCAATAGTACAAGATCAACATGAATTTACTAAACTACTGGAAAAAGCAAAATATCCTATGATCATTATAGGTGATGGAATATATTCTAGAAATGATGCTTATGCTATTTTATCACTTATTCATGAAATTGTAGGAAAATATAATATTATTCGTGATGAGTGGAATGGTTTTAATATATTACATAATCATGCATCAATGGTAGGTAGTTTAGATATTGGCTTTAGCCCACAAAATGGAGGAAGTAATGTTAATGAAATTTTACAAAAATCAGAAAAAGGTTTAATAAAATTTATATATTTATTAGGTAGTGATGAAATTAACATAGATAAGATAAAATCATCTTTTGTTGTATATCATGGCCACCACGGAGATATAGGAGCTAACATTGCTGATGTAATTTTTCCTGCACCTGCTTATACTGAACAAGATGCAATCTATGTGAACTTAGAAGGAAGAGTAAATTACACAAAAGCTGCAGCTCATCCTGTTGGTCAAGCAAAAGAAGATTGGGTTATTATTAAAAATTTAGCTCATAGTTGTAGTATAAATCTTAATATACCTAATTTAGAAGCAGTTAGACATAAATTAGCAAGTGAATTTACAATATTCGATATTACAAATGTTAATAAGATAATAAAAAATAAATTTAGCAATTTTACTTCTTTAGATAAATTAGATAATAATGATATAATCACAAAGCCTGTAAATTACTATATGACAGATGCAATTAGTAGAGCGTCTGTTACTATGACAAAATGCATTACAGCAAAACAAGAAAGAGAAAAAGCGGCATAATGAATTTATGATAATGGAACTTTTTCAAGAATATATAATACCGTTAAGTATTATCGTATTAAAAGTACTATCTATCACTATTCCGTTAATATTATGTGTTGCTTATTTAACTTATATTGAACGAAGAGTAATTGGTTTGATGCAACTACGCAAAGGACCTAATGTAGTTGGCCCTTTCGGTCTATTACAACCTATTGCAGATGCGATTAAATTATTATTTAAAGAGATAATTATTCCATCTTCTTCTGATAAAGTATTATTTATTATAGCGCCTATAATTACCTTTGTTCTAAGTTTAATTGGTTGGGCAGTAATACCTTTTAGTGTCAATATGGTACTTGCCAATATAAATGTTGGTGTTTTATATATTATGGCTATTTCGTCATTGAGCGTATATGGTATTATTATAGCAGGCTGGGCAAGTAATTCACAATATGCTTTCTTAGGTGCTATTCGTTCATCAGCACAGATGATTTCTTATGAAGTATCAATGGGACTCGTGATTATTACTGTACTTATTACTACTGGTACTCTTAATTTATCAGAAATTGTAGAAGCACAGCGAAATATGAAATGGTGGATAAATTTATTATTATTACCTATGGGAGTAATATTTTTTATATCAGTATTGGCAGAAACCAATAGATTACCTTTTGACCTGCCTGAAGCTGAATCAGAACTTGTAGCTGGCTATCATGTAGAATATTCATCAATGACTTTTGCTCTATTTTTCCTAGGGGAATATGCTAATATGATATTGGTAAGTGCTATGACTACAACATTTTTTCTTGGTGGTTACTTACCACCTTTTAATATTGATTATTTAGATATTATTCCAGGATTTATTTGGTTTATCCTCAAAGTAATTTTCTTATTATTTTGTTTTTTATGGATTAGAGCAACTTTACCAAGATATCGTTATGATCAGCTTATGCGTTTAGGATGGAAAGTCTTTTTACCATTAACTTTATTTTGGGTAATATTAGTATCCAGTGTATTATTATATAGTGATAATTTACCTCATTATAATTTTTTATAAACTTTTATTATCTAGAATATACATATGATCAATTATTTAAAATCTTTTTTCTTATTTGACATAATATCAGGACTTATTTTAACCTTAAAATATTTATTTAAAGAAAAAATCACTATTAATTATCCTTATGAAAAGAGTAAGATCCATGCTAGATTTAAAGGAGAACATGCTTTAAGACGTTATGAAAATGGAGAAGAACGTTGCATTGCTTGTAAATTATGTGAGGCTATTTGCCCTGCACAAGCTATTATTATTGAATCTGAAGAAAGAGAAGATGGAAGTAGAAGAACTACCAGATATGATATTGATATGACTAAATGTATTTACTGTGGACTTTGCCAAGAAGCATGTCCCGTTGATGCTATAGTAGAAGGACCAAATTTTGAATTTGCAACTATTACGCATGGGGAATTAATATATAATAAAGAAAAATTACTAAAAAATGGTGATATGTGGGAACAAGAATTAGCAATAAAACTAAATAATGATTATAAATATAGATAAACATGATAATATTTTTTTATTTATTTGCAACCCTATTAATAATTAGTAGTATATGTGTTGTTACTAGTAAGAATTCAGTTTATTCAATCTTATGGCTTATTTTTAGCTTTTGTAATGGGTCTGGATTAATGATATTACTAGGAGCAGAATTTTTAGCAATGATGTTGATTGTAATATATGTTGGAGCCGTAGCAGTATTATTTTTATTTGTTATAATGATGTTAGATATTCATCTATCATATGCTATTGTACAATTAAAGAGAAATTTATTTATTACTATTTTAATCTCATTACTTATATTCATAGATTTTGTTTTAATTATTTTACTTAGCACTAAATATATTAATCTTGATCATTCTAAAATCTTTGCTATATCACCACAAATTAGTAATACTCATTCTATAGGTAAAATATTTTATACAGACTTCATATTACCATTTCAAATATCAGGTCTCATTTTATTTGTATCCATGATATCATGTATTACTTTAACTATTAGGCATCGAACAGGAGTAAAGAGACAAAATATTATTAAACAAAATGCCAAAAATAGAGATAATGCTATATTAATAGTCAACCCTAATATTCGTGAAGGAGTAAAAGAGATTAAATATGATTAGTAATATTACCTTAGAACATTATTTAATTTTATCTGCTCTTATCTTTACTATAGGAATGGCTGGATTATTGATGCATCGTAAAAATGTTATAACAATTCTTATGTCTATAGAATTAATGCTACTTGCTGTAAATATAAATTTTGTTGCATTTTCAGCTTACGCCCAAGAACTATCGGGTCAGATCTTTAGCATAATAATTCTTACTATTGGTGCAGCTGAAACATCAATAGGTCTTGCAATATTATTAGTATATTTTAGAAATAAGGGTTCTATAATCATTAGTGATATTAACCAGATGAGAGGGTAATCAATGCTTTGTGATAGAGTAGCAATATTGATTATAGTATTACCATTAATTTCAGCTATTATTAATGGTCTATTTCACCAATATCTAAGCAAAAAACAAGCAGGAAATATTGCAAATATTACTATGATAATATCTGCATTATTATCTATATCAATGTTTTATCATGTTGGTATTAATCAAGAAATAATACATATTAGTGTAATTAAATGGCTAGAAATCAAGGGAGTAACAATAAGTTGGGGAGTTTATGTTGATCAATTAACTGTTATCATGTTTATAGTAGTAACCTGGATTTCTACCGTTGTTCATATTTACTCTCTTGGATATATGGAGAATGATAAAAACTTGCCTAAGTTTCTTTCTTTTATATCATTTTTTACTTTTTTCATGTTAGTATTAGTTTCTGCTGATAATTTTTTACAGCTATTCTTTGGTTGGGAAGGAGTAGGACTATTTTCATATTTACTAATTGGTTTTTGGTATGAAAAAGAGGCGGCAAATAAAGCAGCAATTAAAGCTTTTATAGTAAATAGAGTGGGTGATTTTGCTTTTATGTTAGCAATTATTACTATCTTTATCTATTGTAATAAAGCAGATTTTATTTCTGTATTTGCACAAGGAAAGGAGTTAAGTCATATTATAGTTAATAATATATTCGGGCTTAAAATATCAATAATTGATATAATATGTTTATTATTATTTTTAGGATGTATGAGTAAATCTGCTCAAATTGGTATGCATATTTGGTTACCAGATGCAATGGAAGGACCAACACCAGTATCTGCACTTATCCATGCGGCAACTATGGTAACAGCAGGAGTATTTTTAGTGTCTAAATGCTCCTATTTATTTGAATATAGTCCTATTATCCTACAGTTCATTACTATTATTGGTGGTATTACTTGTTTATTTGCAGCAACTATTGCCATTACTCAAAACGATATTAAAAAGATTATTGCTTACTCGACATGTAGTCAACTTGGTTATATGTTTATTGCCTGCGGTTTATCCGCCTATAATAATGCTATTTTTCACTTAGTAACCCATGCCTTTTTCAAAGCTTTATTATTTTTATCAGCTGGTAGTATAATACATGCTTGCCATGAACAAGATATTTTTAAAATTGGTGGATTAAAAGAAAAAATGCCTGTAACTTATGGTAATTTCTTATTTGGATCATTAGCACTCATTGGCATTTATCCATTGGCTGGTTTTTATTCTAAAGACTTAATACTAGAATCAGCCTATAGTGCTGACACAATAGGTTATATAGCATTTATTTTAGGTATTATTGCAGCTTTATTAACTGCAATTTACTCTATAAAAATTATAATGCTTGTATTCCATGGTAAAACTAGATTGGAACAAGAAAAATTTAATCAAATATATGAAGCTCCTAATATTATGAATATGCCTTTAATTATTTTAGTTGCTGGTAGTTTTTTTTCTGGAATGATAGGATATTATATATTATCTATTGATAGACCAAATGGTTACTTTCATCATAGTATTTTAAATATTCATATATGTCAAAGATTAATTCACCATCTGCCAATCTATATAAAATTATTACCAATGACTATTGGTGCAATAGGAATTATAGTTGCTATTTTCCTATATAAGAAAATACAAAAAGTAAAGAGAAAGGGATATGTATATTCTATTTTAGAAAATAAGTATTATTTTGATGAAATATATAATTATCTTATAATAAAGCCACTGGACAGTTTGAGTAAAACATTTTACTTTTTTGATCAACAAATAATTGATAGATATGGTCCTAATGGGGTTACAAAAGTTATTAACTATTTCGCTTATTGGACAAGTAAAATACAAACCGGATATGTCTTCAACTACACATTATATGTAGTTTTATTTATGCTTATATGTATTACTTTCTTTCTTATAGGCTTCATTAGTGGATAATTTTTACATTATAGTTACTTAATTACTAGTTTTAGAGTTTAAGATGTTAGAACTACCGATTTTATCAATAAGTATTTTTTTACCATTACTAAGTGCAATGTATATTATGTGTTTTATTAGTCAAAGTAAGTCACCTAATAAACAAGTATATGCAATGTATGTTGCAGTTTTAAGTTCATGTTTCACTCTTATATCAACAATTTATTTATTGCTTAAGTTTGATGCAACAAACCCATCTTATCAATTTATAGAACATTATAATTTGATCCCATTAATTGGTCTTGAATTCTATATTGGGATTGATGGAATTTCGCTATTTTTTATTGTTCTAACTGCATTTTTGACACTTATTTGTATCATAGGTAGTTTATTTACAATAAAAAAATATATTAAGGAGTTCTTATTTTGCTTTTTATTAATAGAATCCTTTTGTATAGGTGCTTTTACTGCAATTAACTTACTGTTGTTTTTTTTGTTTTTTGAAATAATATTAATTCCAATGTATATTATTATTGGTATTTGGGGTGGAGAAAATAGAATATATGCAGCTACAAAATTCTTTTTATATAATTTCTTTGGTTCAGTATTTATACTTTTATCACTCATATTTATTTATACTAAAACACATAGCTTTAATATATTAGAATTAGTTGAAATTATACCTAATTTTACACTAGCCACACAACAAATTTTGTGGTGTGGAATTTTTTTAGCTTTTGCAATAAAAGTACCTATGGTACCATTTCATACATGGCTTCCTGATGCACATGTACAAGCACCAACTGCTGGTTCTGTTATTTTAGCTGGTCTCTTATTAAAACTTGGCGCTTATGGATTTTTACGTATATTAATACCATTATTACCACATGCATCACAAGAATTTTCAATTTATGTATTAGGGTTCAGTGTATTTGCTATAATATATAGTTCACTAATTGCTTTTGTTCAGAAAGATATAAAAAAGATGATAGCTTATTCCTCTATTGCTCATATGGCATATGTAACAAGTGGTATTTTTAGCTTTACTGAAGAAGGAATCAAAGGAGCTATTTTTCAAATGATTAGTCATGGTATTATTTCCTCTGCTCTATTTTTAATTGTAGGGATGCTATATGAAAGACTACATACTAAAGCAATCGATCAATATGGAGGAGTGGCAAAAAAAATGCCAATACTTGCGACTTGTTTTATGATTAGTATGCTTGGTTCTATTGGTTTACCAGGTACTTGTGGTTTTATAGGTGAATTTTTAAGTATATGGGGTGTTTTTCAGATTAATATAGTATTTGCTATTATATTAGCTTCTGGGATAATTCTTTCAACTATCTATATGTTAAAACTTTATAAAGAAGTAATGTTAGGTTCAATTACTAATAAAGAAATTCTAAATTTCAAGGATCTATACTTATATGAAATTCTAGCTATTATACCATTATGTATAATAATTATTTATCTAGGACTAATGCCAAATAGCATTATTAATATGTTTGATTTATCAGTAAATAAATTAGTAAAACTTCACTATCAATCAATCTTAACCTAATAATATCTATTATAGTCAACACACCCTAGGACAGCTACAGCTAAATTCACAAAGCTTGATACAAAAAGCGAATTTTTTGCCATTCACCTTTGCTTACGTACTATTTACGCTTGCACAAGGTGTAGTCTCAAATTCATCTTGTCTGAAGCTTTGTGAATTTAGCTGTATCTTGCACTTGTAATTTTATAGATAAGAAAATAAAACCTAAAATTCCAATAAAACAACATGTTGGCACTACTGAAATAGCAGTAATAAAGTCATTACGACTATATATAGGCATATTAGCTTCATTCAAACCATCCCAATTATATGATATTAAAATAGTTATTAATTTATGAAAAAAATACCCAAATGACATATTAATACAATTGATTATAGAAACTGCAAGCCCTGCAGATTCTTTTTCCACTATATTACTAACAATAGTAAAAATAAGTACCTGATAACAACAAAAAATACCAAGCAAAAACATTAAAAAACTACTTTTAAAAAAATCCAGTGACGGATAATATAATAAAACAACAAAAACTATTATTGTAAATATACCCGTCATAATAATCACAAAATTTGAAGATTTGAATAAATTTGCGGTTAATGCTAATATTGGTCCACCAAAACACATACCAATATAAACAAAAGAAGTAACTATACTACTATCTATTACACTCATATTATAAAGTTGTTGAAAGAATGGCATAGCCCATACATCAGCAAATCCCTCCAATGTACCAACCATTAACCCACCAGAAATACCAATTAATAAAATTGTTGGATTAAATAATAATTTAAAAATCTGTAATTTATTATAATCTCTATGGTTATTATTATAATTATAGTTATTATTAATTAATAAAATTATTAGACCTATAATAAATCCTATTAATGCCAAAACATAAAAAGTATAGTAGTAACCCCAACATTCAAATAATATTTTCATTGGAGTAACACCAAATACCGCTCCAATTAAACCAAACGTAAAAGAGAAGCCTAACATTAAAGAATGATATTTAGCAGGAAAATAAAGAGTGATTATTTTGGCTATTGATAAGAACCCTACCGCTGAGCCAGCACCAGTAATAAACCTTGCAATTAATAAATAATAAAAATTATCACTTGCTACAAAAACTATAGTACCGATAGAAGTAACAAGGATTGATATAAACATAACAACCCTAAGGTTAAATTTATCTAACATTATACCAACAGGTATCTGCATCCCAGCATAGCCAAGATAATAGTACCCAGCAAGTGACCCAAACTCAACAGTATCAATAACAAATTTTTGAATAATTTCTTCCCTAAGAATACCAATTACAAGTCTTAATATGAACTGAAATCCAAAAAATAAACTAGCTAACCCCCATAATACCAATGGTTTTTTTAAAGATTGAGTTGTATTCATAGAAAAATTTACATTATAGTTATTGTAATAATTAATTTCAAGGTAGATAGTAGATAGAAGAATCTAGGTAATATAAACATTAATCACTCTTTGTCAATCATCTATTATGTAAAACTCTGTAATTACCTAAGGATAGTTTAAGGTAATAATGATAATTCTTATCTAGAGAACTGAGATTCTAAGTGTTTAGTCGCGCACATTGAATTACATAAGGAATATTTGTGATAATAAAGTTGCAAATTCTATAAAGATAGGAAAGCTATAACCATCATTTACAAATAATTATTTTTATTATTTAAATCACTCATATTAATTCTAGATAAAATTCTTTTTTTCAACTATAAAGTATTTATCAAGAACGAAACTCAAAAATCTAATTCAATAACACCGATAAATCTGAGTAATTATAATAATATATGTAGACTCCCCCAACAACTAATAAATGCTCCTATAATTCAACATTTTTATTTTTTAAGACATGGCAATACTGATTGGAATATAGAAATGTTAAAATTAGGTCCACAAGATTTATCATTAAATATAAACGGTATACAGCAAGTTAAATATAGTGCTTCATTAATAAATGATCAAAAAATATCTTATATTATTTCAAGTAATATGAAACGTTGCTTGGAAACAAAGGATATAATTATAGATATTATAGAGGATAAAAATCCTAAATTTGAAATAGATACCACACTTCATGAAAGAAACTTCAGCGATTGGTCGATATATCAAAACTCAATACAGCAATTATTTGCTTCACAGTCTGATAAAACAAAAATACATTACAATGAAGCACAAAAAATTGTAGAATCTCTTTTACCCAATGATGCTGAAACAAAAGATCAATTTATTTTAAGAATTGCTGAATCTTTCGCTAAGCACTTACATAATTCGTCTATAAAAGGCACTCCCTTATTTGTTTCGCATGGGTGCGTTAAAGATGAATTAGTAAATTTAATGAATCATAATTATATTAATTTAAATTATGGTAGTATATTGTCATTTGATTATATAGATGATAAGTGGCAAATAGCCAAATTAGTAGGAGAAGTAGAAGATGCCACAAATTAAGCGTTTTATTTTTATTCGTCATGGTGCTACTGATTGGAATATAGGATTGTTAAAATTAGGTCCACAAGATTATGGATTGAATGATTTGGGTGAAGAGCAGGCGTTAGAGACGGCAAAAAAGATTAAACATATACTATCATCACAAGAAAATAATTATAGTATTCTTTCTAGTAATTTAAGTAGAGCTAAAAAAACAGCAGAAATTATTAGTAAATATAATAATAATTTACCTATTTCGTTTGATAATGATTTAAATGAAATATATTATGGTGACCATAGTAAAAATAAGGTTCTCGATCAAGAACCTTTAAAGAAATTTCATGATAGGATTCGTAATGTTATTGATAATATTATAAGCCCTATCAATGAAAGTCTTATTATCATATCCCACCTGGGGGTCTTTAAAGCACTAAAAGAAATTTTAGTACCTACTCCTATAATATCACTCGATAATGGAGCGGGAGCTATATTTTGGCAAACAGAGTCTGTATGGACAGTAGATCTTATTGATAATAGACCTTATGCAAATTGGGATTAAGAGAAGAATATAAGTAAGAATTTATTTAAGAAGAAGCAATAGTAATTTAGCAGAAAGTTAAAACCCATGCTTTATTCAGTACACAACATAGCACTAATACTTTTAAATTAGGTAATATTGGCGTTTATAAAGTTATAAGTAACAAGCTATAATTCAATTATGGTAGAGTTAATTTATGAATCATTTCAAAATATATTTTTCATTATTTATTGACAGTTTAATTAATAATTTAGTTATAAGCCTTAATAACGAATTATTTATTCATTCAATGCCAATGTTTAACACATATAATAACTCTCTGATGCTTATTCTATCAACTAGTGCTTCTATGGTTGCTATTAGTATAAATTATCTTTTAGGCAGAATATTATTAAACATTTTTTATTACACTAAAAACCAACAAAGTCTTCTAAGATACCAACATTTTAGTAAATTTTATTTTAAATATAAAATAATTTTACTAAGTTTAATTATAGAACCTTTTTTAGGAAGATTTATCCCTTTAACTGCAGGATTTACTAAAATAAAATTCTCAATAGTTTTAATTGTTAGTAGCATAATAAAATTATGTTATTATATTTATATTTTATATTTTTCTTCTTAGAAATTTCAATAATTGATTTCTTTATACTTTAGCTATTTAAGTAAATAATAAATATTAGGTAAGATTTAATGAATCTTTATAGAATATCTCCATCATGCCCATTCCTAAATGTAGTAGCAGATTTTATTATTAATAATTTTGCTAATAAACAATCTATGGATCAGATAAAGGTAATATTACCTAATGGTACTGCTTGTCTCAATTTACAAAAAATTCTGATTAAGAAGCAAACCATTACAATATTACCTAATATTATTCCACTTTCAAATATTAAAGTTACGGGTAAAGAAACATTCAGAATATCACCAGAAAATTTAAACCCTATAACCTCTTTAGAGGAAAAGATTATTTTAACTGATATTATCTACAATTATCCAAAATCAAAATTTAATGTAATACAATCTTTACAATTTAGTCCTATAATTGCTAAACTATTCTATGAACTTATTTATAATGACCTATCCATAGAAGATATTAATAATCGTATATATTTTAATAATTCAGAACATTGGAAATCTATTTATGAATTACTACAATTTAGTTATCAAGAATGGAAACATAGGATACAACAACTTAAAAAGCAGGACAAAGCAAATTATCAAATAAATATGCTTAAAGCTGAGGTAGAAAAACTTAAAAGCTTTACAATACTTGATTCTACGGAACATAATACAAAAAATAACTACAATCTGATAGTAGCTGGTATAGTCGGTGATAATATTTCATTATGGAATTTCTTAAAGAAAATTGCCAACTTCCCTTCTTCTTTTATAATTTTGCCACCAATTAGTAATTTGCCAGATGCACTATTACAGGATAATATAAATGATATATCTGATAGTCTTTATTGTCTTAAACAACTATTAAAGACAATGGATAAAAAGCTTTCTGATTTTCAATTTCTTGGTCCTTATAATATACAAGATAATATTTTTAACCAATTAATTATTAATAATAAATTATATGCACAGATAAACAACCCTAATGACACAATTAAAATTGATAATTTACATTATATTGAATTTACAGATATTTATCATGAAGCAGAACAAATAAGCTTAATATGCAGAGAACATCCTAATAAAAAAATAGCTATTATCATTAATAATATAAAAATAAAAGAATTTTATTATAATTTTCTTATTAAGAATTCTTTGAAATTTAAGGATCTAATAGGTAATGATTTATCAAAAACACATATAAGTAATTTAATAATTACTATTAGTGACATAGTATGTAATAAATTTGATTTAAAAAAACTTTTTATTCTATTAAAAAATCCTTTAATTAACTCACATACAACACAAAAATTAGAACTTTTACTATTAGGAAAAAATCGCTTTATTAATAAACCACAACAAATATTAGATCTAATCAAACAAACAAACGATAATAACTTATTTGAATATTATCAAAACATAATTAATATAGTTTATAAAAATAAAGATCAAAGGTTTAATAAATTATTAAACCTTATTATTACGATTGCAGAAAAACTTTATCCTGCTATTTGGTATGAAAAATCCTCTTTAGAATTATCACAATTTCTTGCTGAATTGATAAAAATTAATTGGCAAATCACATTAAAAAAACAAGAAGATTTTCCTGAAATATTACAATCTCTAATTTCTAATTATCAATATTTTGATAATCAAAATAACCATAGTAATATAATTATTGGTAAAGCAGAAGATTTAATATTACTTAAATTTGATATAGTAATTTTAGCTGATTTCAACAATAAAACATGGCCTATACAACCAACTATTAATCCTTTTTTTAGTCAAAATATACAAGAACAATTAGGCTTAACTTCTTCTCGCATCCATTCTTCTATATATTTATATTATTTTTATTTATTTTTATATAACAATCAGATAATTATTACAAAGTCGAAAAAACAAAATAATGACTTAGATTTATTACCATCAAATTATATATTGAAATTACAATATATTTTAGGTAATGATTTATTTAATAAATTAAATGATAAAATAACTACTTCCGTTCATAATATTACTGTTAATAGTAATCCTACTACTATTGCATATAGTTCTTTTTTCCCAAGCATATTATCTGCTACTGATATAGAAATGTTAATACGAAACCCTTATAGTTTTTATGCTAAAAAGATTTTAAACTTAAAAAATAAAGAAATGATAGGACAAGAACCTAAAATATCAGAATTTGGTAATTTTATACATAGTATATTAGAACAATATACTAAAAACTATGATAAAATGAAACAGCGAATGGCAAAAAATTCGCTTGTATCAAGCTTTGTGAATGAGGCTGTACAATATATATTAAATATCAGTACTAATATTTTACATAATAATATTCTTCCTCCATACACACAAAAAATATGGCAAATTAAATTTAATTCTATCGCTAAAGATTTTATTGAATTTGATGAACAACGACGTAATAATATAAAATATATCTACTCAGAATTAAAAGGTGAGCTATTATTAAATATCGCTGATCACCAACTGAAAATTATCGCAACTGCAGATAGAATTGAAGTAGATAAAAAAGGCAATGCTACTATTTTAGACTATAAAACTGGTATGACTCCTACTAAAAAAGATATAATATCTGGCTTATCACCTCAACTTATTATTGAAGCATTAATATTATTAGAAGGAGGTTTTGGCATAGAAGTTTCTAATATTAAGAAAATTATTTATGTAAAAATTTCTAGTACAGTACCCTATATTCAAACTACAGAAATAGACCTAACACAAGCAGAGCTCAATAATCACAAGACAGGTCTTATATCTTTTTTAGAATATTATATAATAAATAAATTGTTTACGTGTGAAATAGATTTACTACAATATAATAATTACACTCACCTAACTCGCATAATCTAATATTTAATTACTGATTATTGCTTTTAAATACTTATATTAAGCTAAGATATTTTTTTAAAGACAAACTGATGAATAAGATCAATTAATTCCTGATTTTTATAAGGTTTACTAATTATGTGCATTCCCTCTTCTAATAAAATATCATGATCTTCCTTATAATTATAACAACTTGATACAGCACTTTGAAAAATTATAGGAATATGTGCAAGACTTTGATCCTCTCTAATCTTCTTATATACTTCATAACCCTTCATATCATCAAGACAAATATCAAGTAATATTAAATCTATTTTATTACCAAGTTCTTTAGTTAATATAATTGCATCTCTCCCATTATAAGCACTAATTACCTTATAATTTTTGACATTACTTAAAACTAACTTTATTGCATCATGACAAATTAATTCATCATCAACAAAAAGTATGGTACATTGTTGCCTAGTATTATTTTTAGGCATTTTTGATTTCCATATAAATAATATTTATTTTCTTAAAATTGGAATCATAAATTTTAACTTAGCACCCTTTTTTAGGTTGTTTTCAGCTTGGATATAACCATTATGCGCTAAAACTATTTCTTTGCAAATAGAAAGACCAATACCTGTACCTTCAAAATTATTATCAGTCCTTGAACTGCGAGTAAATTCTTCAAAAATAGATTCCAATTCATCTTCTGGAATACCTATCCCAGTATCAATTAAACTAAATTGCCAGTAGAATATATTATTAGAATTTATTAAATCAAGTATTGCAATAATTATACCTTGTTTAGTATATTTTATTGCATTACTAAGTAAATTACTCAAAAGTTGATTAATCCTAACCTGATCTCCATATATTATCGCCCTTTCAATATTATGATTAATAAAAAGAATTTTTATATCCTCATTTAACATATTTAGTTCTTGAAATTGCTGTACATTCTCCTTAATAGATTTAACTAAATCCATAACTACAAAATTAGGTACTACCTTACCAGCATTAAATTTAGACTGTTCTAATAGCCCCTCAGTTAACTTTACTAATCTCTGGCTATTATTTGATATAGTGCCAATATATTTTTTACACTCACAATCATCTATCTTTTCCCAATTTTCATATAAAAATTGAGATATACTGCTAATCCCATGAACTACTGCCTTTATTTCATGACTTACATGATTTAAAAGATTAGTTTTATCTATCAACTTTCGTTCTATCTCTGATACTTTAACCCGTAATTTATTATTCAATGTTTCCAAGAGCATATATTTTTTCAATTTATAAAAATATAATATCAACGGAACTAAAGTGATAATTAAAATAAAGAAACACATATTAACTATCTAAATATAACAAAAGTAAAATATTAGATAAGTTAATAGAATTAATAGATTCCAAATTAACATTTGGATATTCTCCACCATTATTTTAATGATAAATAATATAGGTATAGAGTTATTTATCCCTATATTTGACATAATGTTAAATATTTTAATTTAGTAGAAAAATATAATTTATAGAATAATTAAATTTATTATTTACTTATGACATAAGCTTTAATATTACCTTAGTATTAACTAATTAATACTAGACAATATTTTAAACTCCATTCAATATATTAAACCTTTGTCAATAAATAACATATAACATACTGACAAACATTAGTCTACTGCAAAATAGATAGTATAAATCAAAATAACTTTTAATTGTTAATTAATACTTAAATAGTTAATAACTATCTTCTGGTATTATTAATTATTTATTAAAATTTAAATATAGTACAGCTAAATTCACAAAGCTTCAGACAAGATGAATTTGAGACTACACCTTGCGCAAGCGAAAATAGTACGTGAGCAAAGGCGAATGGCAAAAAATTCAACTTGTATCAAGCTTTGTGAATGACGCTATAAACTACACATTATCAATTAATAATTTATTCATTAGTAGACAAATCTTAAGTTTATATATTTCTATAAATAAAAATCACAATATAAGTTCAACTTCTATAAACTATACTAATCTTATCTATGTTAATGACAAAACATAAACTTCTAATAAATAAGGAAACTTAAATTAGTAACTTATCTATAACATAATATATCCAAAAACTATTTAGTACAATCTGATTCCATTTCTTCTTGATTATTCTACCAATATTCAAAATTATTATTTTGATAAAGACTTTACCATAACTTCTTGATCAATAATTTTCTGCGCCTCACTATTTGAAACATTCTTTCTACTATTCAACAAAAAATTAGATCCTTCTAAATCTTGATTTATTGGCTCTACTCTTCCTCCAAGAATATTTGCTAAAAAATGTTCGACTAATGCATAATAAGATAATCTATTTTCTGCTCTAGCAAAACCATGCCCTTCATCTTCATATAAAGCATAAATAACAGGAATATTTTTAGATTGCATTACCCTAACAATTTGATCAGACTCAGCTTGTTTTACCCGAGGATCATGGGCACCTTGAGCTATAAAAAGAGGATTTTTAATATTATCAACAAAAGTCAATGGAGATCTTTGTTCCAAAAATTCCCTTTCTTCTTTAGTATCCCAAGCACCAATTCTTTTTTTAAATTGATTGATCATTGGTTCCCAGTAAGGAGGCACACTTTTTATTAAGGTTAAAAGATTAGAAGGACCTACTACATCAATACCACAAGCAAATATACCTGGTGTCATAGTCATACCAACTAAAGCTGCATATCCACCGTAGCTCCCACCCATAATAGCAACTTTTTCAGGATCTGCAATATTATTTTCAACAGCCCACCTTACCCCATCTATAAGGTCATTATGCATTTTACCACCCCATTCCATATTACCAGCATTGACAAAATCCTTACCAAAACCAGTTGAACCACGATAATTTATACTTAAAACTACATAATTTCTATTAGCAAGCCACTGATGCACTGCATCAAAACCCCAGTAATCTCTAACCCATGGTCCACCATGCACGTAAATAATTAATGGTATTTTATTAATTGGCTTGTTATCCTCATCAAATTTAGTGTTTAACGGGAAAGTAATATAGCTTACTAAATCCAATCCATCACGAGATTTAATAATAATAGGCAACATTGGGGCCAACTTTACCTCACTTAAAGCTTCCCTATTATTAAACAAAAACTTTACCGTCCTTTTTGTACGATCATATATATAATACTTAACTGGAGCAATATCACTCTCATACGCTACAAGCCATATATTATCATCCAAAGTCAAAGTCCTATTAATAGATAAATTTCCTTTATAAAAAGTTATAAGATATTCAATATCATCCTTAATTGATTTATCTAATATCTTATAACGTACCTTATCATAATTAACAGCAACAACTTGAATTGTTTTTTCGACTGGATGACGAATAAATGGTCTGACATCTGCCAATTCATCCTCAGCTATTAAGGTTGATTTACCATCAGTAAGGTTAATAGATTTCAACGCAGCAGTATTACGCCCCCTACTATCACGTAAATATACAACCTCCCCCTTTTTATCAAATCCTACAAAATTTGTATTTGCAGAATCTTCCATAGATACTTTAGTATAAAGATCCCATTTATCATCTTTAAATTGAAAATATTCAACACTCCCATCATCACTAACACGTGAAGCAAAGCGTAACTGCAAATCATTATCAACAATAAACCCAACAAATTGCTCATTTTTTAACATAAGTTCCTTTGTTAAAGTGCTAAGGTTTAACTTATAAATATCAAAATATTTTTTATCCCTATCATTTAAACCTATTAATATTTCATTTGGCTTTTTATCAGTAATCCCTATTATATGTGCTTTTACGCCTTTTTGAGGAGTAAGAAGTTTTGTCTCTTTTGTAAGAATATTATAACTATAAATACAAAAATTCTCATCTCCTTTATTATCTTGTGCATATAAAATATTGTTATTATTATATGTCCACTCATATGTTCTAATACCTCGTTCTTTATCATCAGTCACCACCTCTATTTTTGTTAAATCACTTAATGGTGCAATCCAAATATTCAATACCCCATCTTTAGGTGCTAAGTAACTAATATACTTACCATCAGGACTAAGTCGCACATTAATTTTATCAGGATTACCAAATAATATTTGGCGTGAAATAATAGGATTATCAACTGCAGAAAATGATTTATTAGGCATAAATATACTTATTAATATTGTTAATATAGTTAGATAATTAAGTTTAAAGCACATATTACTTCAATAATTCTATAATAAGATTATATACTGTATAGCTTGTTTTAACTAATAGTCAACATTAGTTACTATAAACTTAGAAATTAACTATACTTAAATGAAAAAACCATTATTTTAAAGTATTATTTATCAAATTTTAATTAAACTATCACTCTAAAATCCATTTTTCTATAACTTAACGCTTCTGCAATATGTACCTTATAAACATTATCCGATTGATCAAGATCAGCAATAGTCCTTGCAACCCTTAAAATTCTATTATAAGCACGCATTGACAACTGAAATTTATTACTTGCTTCATTTAATAATTGTTGACCATTATCTTTTGGCATTGCATAATCTATCAATAATTGTCCATCCAAACGATTATTCGTTTTGATACCACACTTATTATACCTAATTTGCTGAATATTTCTTGCTCTTTCAACTCTAATAGCAATTTGACTCGACTCTTCTTCTACATTATTCTCTATTATATTATAAGAACCAACATTCATGACTTCTATGTGTAAATCAAATCTATCCATTACTGGCCCAGAAATCCGCATCTGATAATCACTTCCACATTTTGGAGCTCTTACACATGCCTTATACTCATCTCCTAAATATCCACATTTACATGGATTCATAGCTGCTATTAATTGAAAATTAGCAGGATATTTTACATGTGAATTTACTCGCGAAATTAATATTTCACCAGTCTCAATTGGTTGTCTTAATGATTCAATAACATTTTGAGGAAATTCAGGCAATTCATCTAAGAATAAAACACCATTATGAGCTAGAGATATTTCTCCAGGTTTCACTCGCTTACCTACTCCTCCACCAACCATTGCAGCTATTGAACAGGAGTGATGTGGCGCCCTAAAAGGTCTAGCTCTCGAAAGTTTACCATTTTCTATTCTACCTGCAACACTTGCTATAGTACTACATTCTAAAATCTCTTTTGGACATATTTTCGGTAATATTCCAGGCAGGCAGTGTGCTAACATAGATTTTCCTGTACCTGGTAATCATTAACAAGTTATGACTACCTGATGCAGCCACTTCTAATACTCTTTTAGCAATTTTTTGCCCTCTTATATCTTTAAAATCTGGATAATTTATTATATCATTATCTATTTCTGCTTCTGGCGCAGTTAAGATTTGGTTTCCTTTAAAATGATTAACTAACTCAATAAGATTATTAGGCGCTAAAATACTATTATTTCCAGACCATGCCACTTCACGACCATTATTTCTAGAACAAATCAATCCTTTATCTCGTGATAAAGCACCAATAGCGGCTGGTAAAGCACCATTAACCGATAAAATAGACCCATCTAAAGACAATTCACCTATTATCAAATAATTTCGCATCTCACTACTTGGTAATACTCCCATACTAGTAAGTATAGCACAAGCAATAGCAAGATCAAAATGACTACCTTCCTTTATTAAGTCAGCAGGAGCTAAATTAATTAAAATTTTTTAGTAGGTAACGCAAGACCTATAGCAGAAAGAGAAGCCCTTACCCTCTCTTTTGACTCAGCAATAGTTTTATCAGCAAGCCCTACTATAGTAAAATTAGGTATGCCAGGTGATATTTGTATTTGTACATCAACATCAATAATATCAATACCACTAAAAGTTAAACTAGAAATATGAGCTATCATTAACAAAATTTATAAAATATATTTTGCTAAGTTGAGATCTTTAGCAATTGTTGACAATTGTTTATCTACAAAATCCTTATCAAGAACAATCTTTTTTTCTTGAATATCACTAGCATTAAAACTTATATCTTCTAATAAATGTTCAAGAATTGTATGTAATCTTCTTGCACCTATATCTTCAATTTTTTTATTGATATCTTCTGCATAAACAGCAATTTGTTCTATCGCCGAGTTAGTAAATTCTAATTCTACCTCTTCAGTAGCAATTAAAGCTGTATATTGTTTAATTAAGTTTGACTCCGGCTCAGTTAAAATCTTAACCATATCATCCTTATCCAATGCCTTTAATTCTACCCTAATAGGCAACCTTCCCTGAAGTTCTGCTAATAAATCAGATGGTTTTGATGAATGAAATGCTCCTGATGCAATAAATAAAATATGACTAGTATCTACTACACCATATTTAGTGTTAACAGTAGTACCTTCAATTAAGGGCAACAAGTCCCTTTGAACCCCTTCCCTACTTACTTCTCCACCTTTATTTTCAGTCCTTGAAGTAATTTTATCAATTTCATCGATAAATACTATACCATCATTTTCTACTAATTGTAACGCAACCTGAATAATTTTTTCTTGATCTATTAATTTCTCAGATTCTTCTTGCGCAAGGATAATCATTGCATCTTTAATTAACATCTTTTTACGCTTAGTCCTACCACTACCAAAAGCCTTACCAATCATATCACTAATGTTTACTACACCTAAAGAAGCATTACCACTTATACCTGGAATTTCAAAATTTCCACTACTAAGTGGATTAGTGTTATCAATAACATCTAATTCAATTTCAACATTATCAAGCTCTTTATTTAAAAGTTGAGCACGCCATTTTTCTCTAGTTTCACTAGATGCTGATTTACCAACTAATACATCTAATATTCTATCTATTACTTTTAAATTTGCAGCAATATTCACTTCTTTTTTAGCATTAGCTTTTTGTATATTAATAGCTATTTCAACTAAATCTCGTACTATGGATTCAACATCACGACCAACATATCCAACTTCAGTAAATTTTGTTGCTTCGACTTTAAGAAAAGGCGAACCTGTAAGCTTTGCGAGTCTTCGAGCAATTTCAGTTTTACCAACACCAGTAGGTCCAATCATTAAAATATTTTTTGGAGCAATTTCCTGACGCAATGGTTCTTCAACATTTTTTCGACGACAACGATTTCTTAATGCTATAGACACAGCCTTTTTAGCCTTATGCTGCCCTACAATAAACCTATCAAGTTCAGTAACAATTTCAGCTGGAGTTAATCCCATTAATTTTCTTTTTAAATTATTATTCATATAACTTTTTCTAAAATAATATTATGATTGGAATAAACACAAATATCTGCTGCGACATGCATTGCTTTCAAAGCAATTTCTTCTGCTGTTAAATTATTTTCTATAGACATCAAGGCCCTAGCAGCAGAAAGAGCATATAAACCACCAGAACCTATAGCAGCTAAATCACCTTCAGGATCAACGACATCCCCTGCTCCAGTTAAAATTAGAATATTTTGTTGATCAGCAACAATCATCATTGCTTCAAGTTTACGTAAATACTTATCACTTCGCCAATCTTTTGCTAATTCAACAGAACTTCTCAGTAAATTAGAACCATGCTTCTCTAACTTTGTTTCTAGTTTTTCAAACAGGGTTAAAGCATCGGCCGTAGAACCAGCAAACCCAGCTACTATTTTATTGTCATGTATAGTCCTTAATTTACGCGCAGTCGACTTTAAAATAGTATTACCATGGGAAACTTGACCATCAGCCGCAATAACTACATCTTTTCCCTTTTTTAAACAAAGTATGGTAGTACCATGCAAAGTAGAATCTTTTGATAGCTTATCTGACATAATAAATTTTTTTAAATATTGATATTAGGCAATTAAACCAGTATATAATTAAATGTGTATTGCCAACACAAATTATTAGACCTTTACTGAAATAATCATTTATAATTAAAATTGCAAGTCTTATTTATGAATATATACATAATATATGTTAATCCTACTAAAAAAAACTATACTGATTTTGTAATAATAAAAGAAGGATTTTCATTAATAGCATCATTTTTTAATATTCTATGGACATTATACCATAAAATGTGGACATTACTAATAATCACTTTATTATTCCATATTGTTTCGGTGATTTTACATATTGATGATACAATCCCCTTCAGTAAAATAATACTGGGTTTGATATTTGGCTTTTTTGCTACTGATATAAGGGAATATTATTTAGAACAGAAAAATTATCAACTTCAAGATATAATATTAGCATCCTCAACACTAGAAGCAGAATTAAAATTCTTAGAAAGATCTAATCAGGAAAATTATGTACGATAAAAATAACATTTTTGCTCAAATCATTGCAAAAACTACCTCAGCTAGAATAGTTTATGAAGATGAAGAATTATTAGCATTTAATGATATAAAACCTGTGATGCCTACACATATAATAATCATACCTAAAAAGGAATATATTGATTATAATGATTTTATTACTAATGCTTCTGATAAAGAGATTAAAAACTATTTTACTAAAATTGCTTATATTGCTAAAACTCTTGGCTTAGATAAAGATGGATATCGTCTAATCACTAATAATGGCTTAAATTTAGGACAAACAATTTTCCATTTCCATTTTCACCTTATCAGTGGAAATAATATTACTAACTTAATATAATCATTTATAATTATGGAAAAAAAATATAATATAGCAGTAATTGGCGCTACCGGTAATGTTGGACGTGAAATTGTAAACATTCTAGCAAAAAGATCTTTTCCTATTAATAATATTTATGTGATAGCATCAAATGATTCTATAGGAACAGATATTCAGTTTGGCAATCTTACTCTTAAGGTTTCCACATTAGACAACTTTAATTTTAGTAAAATTGATATAGCTTTTTTTGCAGCCGGATCGAAAATATCAAGAGAACATATACCTCAAGCTACAAGCAAAGGATGTATTGTTATTGATAAATCTTCATTTTTTAGATTTGATAAAGATGTACCATTAATCGTACCAGAAGCAAATTTATCAGACATAAAAAATTATAATATTAAAAATATTATTGCTAGTCCAAATTGTTGTACAATTCCTATAGTTACTACGTTAAAACCACTTGATAATGAAGCTATAATAAAAAGGATAGTAGCATCTACTTACCAATCAGTTTCAGGAGCTGGCAAATTAGCTATGGACGAACTTTATAACCAAACTAAAGCAAAGTATATCTTTGATGATTTACCCCCCAAAATATTTCCTAAACAAATAGCTTTTAACTTATTTCCACATATAGGTGATTTTAACCAAGATGGTTCTACTACTGAAGAATTTAAAATTTCTCTTGAATTAGAGAAAATTATAAACCCTTATGTTAAATCTAATATTACTTGTGTTAGAGTTCCTGTATTCATATCCCATGCTATTTCACTTAATGTAGAATTTAAAAAACAAATTAACGCTAAAGAAGCAGAGAAGATTTTAAAAGAATCAGATAGTATTAAACTCCACTCTATTTCAGATAAGCTACAATATTCCTCACCAATAGATGTTGCAGGAGATGATTTTGTTCATGTTTCACGCATTAGAAATGATAAGAGTCAAAAAAATACTTTAAGCTTATGGATAACTTCAGATAATTTACGCAAGGGAGCTGCTTTAAATGCAGTACAAATAGCAGAAGAATTAGTTAAACAATATTTATAAATATTACTTAATATTACTTGGTATTTTTATAAATCAATAAAAATATTTAATAAAGATGTAATTATAGGTTGCAAGAATATTATTTTAATGATATAATGCTTTCCAAGAGTTATTTTTTATTAATTAATAAAGTTGCATAATTTTCATTTTTAAATAAAATAAAAAGTGTTTTAAGATTTAGTATGTATCTAAGATATTTCAAGAACTAAGTGATTAATTTTGTGTGTTTTAACAACTAATACACAAGATTCTTTAGGTTATTAGGAGTTAATTTTCAAAAAGTTGTATGATTAGTTGTGTTATTTTTATATGCTAGCTGCTTTATTAATAAATATTTTTCATGTTCTCACTAAAAATTATATAGAGCTAAGTGATCATTATTAATGATATAGTTTAAAACTAAAAGTTGGTTTTCTAGTTCTTTATTTAATATTTAAGAGTAATCATTGATTAATGAGAGTTATAATTAATTGTTAAAGTCAAATTGAATGTTTAATAAGCCTATGAGATTAACTTAAGTAATTTTATAGAGCTAAGATAGTCTATATTAATTAACGAAATATATAATAGTGTCAATGATGTTGTTAGTTCTTATGATTCACTAAGTGTTTATTATACTTTGATTTATTAATATCATATAAAACTACTAATGTTATATTATCTAAATCTTAATGTTTAGAGTTTTTAGGTATATTGAAGTACTTAGTTTTTTATTTAAGAAATACATTACTAAAGCATCTGTAATCTCAATAATCAGGAGGATGATTTGCAGCTACTCAAAGAAAAAATTAAAGAATATTGAATAACTAATAAGTTAATTAAAAAATAACTGTAGCTTCAGTTACTAATTAATCTTTAATGTTTAAGATGTAATAGGAATATGACTAAAAATACCGGAACAATCCAAAATAAAGTAAATCACCTAGCAAATGCATTAGCTAAATGTAAATTAGCCTTTTGGGTAGTTTTTTGGTTTGCCTTTGTTATTAATTTATTGATGTTAATAACTCCTCTTTACTCTCTACAAGTTCTTGATAGGGTAATAGGGAGTGGAAATTTATATACACTTTTATGGTTATCACTTATCATTGGTTCAATTTACTTTATCTATGGGTTATTACAAATTGCTAGGTCATTTACTTTAATTAAAGTAGGTGAATGGCTTGATAAAACTGTATCCCCTGTGATCTTTGGTTATTCTATTTCAGCTTCTGCTGCACGTAATAATATGGCTGCAAGTCAATTATTAAGAGACTTTCAAGCAGTAAAGACTTTTTTAACTAGTACTGGTATTAATACTTTATTTGATGCACCTTGGAGTATTATTTACATAATAGTTATTTTTTTAATTCATCCTTATATTGGTATCATAACAATATGTGGCGCTATAATTATAATATCATCTGCCTTTTTTAATGCTGCCGCTACAAACAAAACACTTGGTGAAGCAACTGAATTTTCAATAAAAGGTATGACCCAAGCAGATATTGCTAATAGAAATGCAGAAGTAGTTGAAGCAATGGGTATGATGAAAAATGTTACTTTTAATTGGCATAAATTTAATAAAGCATCTTTAGAGAAACAATCAATAGCAAGCTATCGTAATGGAGTTATTTCAAATTTTTCAAGATTTATCCGTAATATAATGCAGATGGCAGTAACTGGTATAGGAGCCTATGTTGTTGTAACAACTGGTGGTAAGGATATGACTACTGGTGGCATGATTATGAGCTCTATTATAGTAGGCAGAGCTTTAGCACCTTTTGATAATGCAATTGATTTATGGAAAAATATGAGTGGGGCTCTTAAGTCTTATAAAAATATTAATCAATTATTTAATAACACTATATCAAGGGATGAGGCAATGCCTATTCCAAATGTTCAAGGTCACCTTACTGTTGAAAATATTTTTTATGCTGTACCTTTACCACCACAATTATTACAACAACAATCTGTACCAAAATATATTTTAAAGGGAGTATCTTTTTCTGTCCAACCTGGTGAAATATTAGCAATTATTGGTCCGTCTGCATCTGGTAAATCTACTTTAGCTAAAGTGATAGTTGTAGCCCCACTCATATTTTTCCATAAATCAATTGCATTATCAAAAGGTGCTAAAGCTCTGCCTACTATAATAGAGCTCATAATCATGCCACCAGTAGTCATATCCTTACCACCAGTTGTTACAACAACAATCTGTACCAAAATATATTTTAAAGGGAGTATCTTTTTCTGTCCAACCTGGTGAAATATTAGCAATTATTGGTCCGTCTGCATCTGGTAAATCTACTTTAGCTAAAGTGATAGTTGGGATATGGAAAGCGTCATCTGGCACAGTAAGGCTTGATGGTGGAGAAATTTATCGTTGGAATAGAGAGGATTTTGGTAAACATGTAGGATATTTACCACAAGGTATAGAACTATTTAGTGGTACTATAAAGCAAAATATTGCTAGGATGGATGAAAATCCTGAACCAGATAAAGTAATTGAAGCAGCTAAAATTGCTGGTGCTCATGAAATGATTTTAAGGCTTCCAGATGGTTATGATTCAGATATAGGACCTGGAGGATCAAATCTTTCTGGAGGGCAAAGACAAAGGATAGGTCTTGCGAGAAGTTTTTTTTGTAACCCAAAAATGATTATTCTAGATGAACCTAATGCAAATCTTGATGAAGCAGGTGAAATAGCTTTATCAAACTCTTTGAAACAAGCAAAGATTAAAGGTATATCTGTCATAGTAATTTCTCATAGACCTTCAATATTATCAGTTGTAGACAAGATTCTAGTATTACAAGATGGGGCAGTAAGTATATATGGTACCCAAGAAGAGATTCAGAATCGAGTTAAAATGTTACAAAGTGGAACAATTCATATTAATAAATAAGGTTATAAAGTTTTAACTATGATACAAGAATCACAAGATATTAATAAAAGTTCTGCAAGTAGTAAATTTACACCAGAACAATTAAAACAGCTTTTATCTTTACAAAACAATATAACATTAAATAAGAAAGCAAAACGTAATATTATATCACAAAAAACTCTACAGAAAATTTCTTATTTTATCCAAAGAACATTATTCTATCTAGATCGTTTTATTAATTTTATCACAAAAAAAACAGATACAGATCGTAATGATGTGATTCAAAGTGCTAGGTCTCCAATTCTTTTTGGTGTTTATATTATTATATTTTTTGTTCTTATTGGTGGAATATGGAGTAGTGTAGCCCCATTAGATAGTGCAGCTGTAGCTATTGGTGTTGTAATGTCAAATAGTAATAAAAAAACAATCCAACATCAAGAAGGTGGGATTATTAGTAATATTTTTGTAAAACAAGGTGATAAAGTTAAGAAAGGAGATAAATTAATAGAATTAGAAGATACAAAGATTAAATCTCAACATGAGAGCACATTATATCAATATAGGAATGCTTTAGCAACAGAAAGTCGTTTAATTGCTGAAAGAGATAATCAAGAGGAAATTGACTTTCCAGAATCTCTAACAAAGTATATAAATATACCTAAAGTAGAAAAAATCATATACACACAAAAAAATCTATTTAGATCCCGAAAGGAGATGTATCAAGCTAAAAAAGAATCATTTAACCAACAAATTGCTCAACTTTATAAAAAAATAGAGGGTTTAGAAGCAAAAAAATTATCAGCTAAAAAGAACTTAGAAGTAGCAAGTGATCGTTTAAAATCTTTAAAGAAATTAAATAATCAGGGGTTTGTACAAAAATCTATTCTTTTAGATCAGGAAAATAAGGAGTCTAGCGCTAAAAGTGAGATTGCTATTTCAGATAGTGAAATAGCAGGAGCTAAACTTGAAATTACTAAAAGCCATATTGCAATAATAAATTTACAAAATGAATATGTTGAAAAAACATTAACTGAACTTAGAGATACAGAAATACAAGTAGCGCAATCTAAGGAACAGCTAGCAATTTATGATGATTTGTTAAATCGAGTAATTATAAGATCACCTGTTGATGGTGTTATTAACCTATTAAAGTACCATACAATAGGCGGAGTAATTCCTGCTGGTGGTCCTATTTTAGAAATCTCCCCTACTAATGATTCATTAATAATAGAAGCAAAAGTAAAACAACAAAATATTGATTCAGTACATGAAGGTTTAGTAGCTAAAATACGCTTTAGTGCGTTTAAATCAAGAACCACTCCACTATTTATTGGTACAGTTGTAAAAATATCACCTGATGTTGTACAAGAACAAGAGAGAGACCCACGTTTAGCAGGAGAAAATACTTATATTGCTAGGATTGAGATTGACATGGATGAATTCAATAAAATTGCTAAATCAAAAAATTTAGAACTCCATCCTGGTATGCAAGCTGAAGTACAAATTGTTACTGGTACAAGAACTTTACTAAGATATTTACTAGATCCTATATTGGATACTATGTTTAGAGCTTTTAGAGAAAAATAATATATTATTTTGAATTTAATGATCTTTTTCCTTCTATAATTCTTATCTTTACATTATAGCATAAGTAAACTATTACATTATCTGTAGTAAAGAAGAATATGAAAAATAAACTAATGGATAATAGCATACAAATGCTAGTCAGGTAAGGATAAGATAGAGGAGCAAACTAGAGGAAGGAATAAGTATTTATAAGTAAGAGACCGTTGAGTTATCTAGTATTTTGATTAAAAAAATATTTACCCAACAATGAAGAAGTGTATCACTAGTTTATTTTCATAATACTGAACAGTAATCAAGTAGAGGATTGAAAAAGTATAAGTTTTTGCCACAAAACAAAATTTTGTTTATATAAGAAGTAATTTTATTAACATCCTGTGCTAGGTTGTGTCATCAATTGAATTAACAAATAAGAAATATTAGAGTATAATATAGAAAAATAAAAAATATTTTATATGCGCCGATATGCTTTACGAGATGATCAATGGGATAGGATTAAAGATATTGTACCCGGTCGGAGGGTACCAGAGGCGCTACAGCTAAGGATAATCGACTATTTATAGAAGCTGTGTTATACCGATATAGGGCAGGCATAGCTTGGAGAGATCTTCCCGAAAGATTTGGAGATTTCCGTGTAATTCATCTACGTCACTCTAGATGGAGCAAAAAAGAGGTATGGAAAAAGATTTTTGAAGTATTAGCAAAAGATGCAGATAATGAATATTCAATGATTGATTCAACGATTGTAAGAGCTCACCAGCATAGTTGCTGGCGCTAAAAAAAATAAAAACGACCAAGCTATTGGACGAAGTAGAGGTGGTTTGAGTACCAAAATTCATACTACATGTGATGCTTTAGGGAACCCTACAGGCTTTCATCTTACAGCAGGTCAAGCTGATGATATACATGGAGCTGATGTTTTAATTGGTAAAATAATACAAGCATACGCCATACTGGCGATAAGGCTTATGATGCTGATGCACGTGTAAAGAGATAAATTAAAAACCAGTAACTGTGTAGCGGTAATTCCATCAATAAAAAATCGTGCAAAGCCGATTCACTATGATAAGCACCTCTATAAAGCTCGGCATCTAATTGAAAACTTTTTTGCAAAACTAAAACAATATAGAGCTATTGCTACACGATATGATAAAACTGCTCGTAACTTTTTAGGAGCTATTTATATGGCTTCCATGCTAATTTGGCTCAATTGATGACACA